TAGTGAATCTTCAAATATATCTATTTTGTTTTAAAGAAATAATAAAGTCAAGATGACAAAATACGTGTATCAATTATTATAAATGTCTGATTACGTTAACCTTTTGCAATACATATTCAAATCTTTGAACAAAAAAGCGAAACTCGACAATTGTCCCAACTTAACGAAAACGAGGTCTCTATTCATATCATTGTAAACTACAATTACAGGAATAACGTTTGTTGAAGATTGTTGCTTTGATCTCTATTCAAGTAAACGAGGCTTTACTTTTTACATACGGTTGTCATTATGTGTGCGATCATTCTAAAATGTGAGTGAATTGGTATTCAATTTCTGCGGCATCAATTATCATTGGCCACATTCTGCATGCAGATCGCATCGCGCAGCACATCTTACACGCTTCGTCAAACATGGACACCGCTGAGTGGAAACAAGAATTGGAGAAAGCTAACACGAAGTTGGATAGGTTGGAAAAACTGAGGCGCGGACAACAGGAAGAGTACCAAGGGGAGAAGAAGGTGTTGGAACAACAAGAGACTTATTGGTTGGAGCAGAAGAAGACATGTTTGGATGCCTTGCGCGCTCAACCAGGTAACGACTTTGTGACTAGGGCGTTGGGGACATAGAGTAGTGTGTACATGGTTGTAGTTGGGGACATAGAACTGAAATTCATTGATGCTGTTGTCTGCTCCTAGCCATCAGTTCAAAGCGGACAATTGATGATTTAGAACGCGAGTATGGTACTAGGATTGCAATACTTGAAGCAGAGTACAAGAAAATCAAATACACCATCACAGCAGCACGTGAAATTGGTGAACATGTCATAAGCGAAGCACAAGTAGATACACAATACATTTTAAATCTACTGTCAAACTCAGGCAACGTGTCATTTGAAAAGCTGAAATTGCCAGTCAATTTTCATAAGCTGCGATGCACAAGTGAAAGTGATCTCCAGGTGAAATTTGTGAAGTTGTTTCAATCATTGCCAGAACAGATGAAACCATGGGGAATTCGCGACACATTAGTTGAAGGCTATCTCAAGGATCCAATCGGAAAGATTGATTTTACGATAATTCAAGGGAACGTGGTTTCATGGGTGCATGTTGTTTCTCTAATTGAAATTAAGTCTACTTTGAATAGCAAAACCAGTCACTGTGAGGCACTCGGGCAGCTCATAGACAGATTTACAACTATTTTTGACTTACAAAAAAATCGATCATTTATTATTGGAGCTATTTGTGGAGATTCACAAGTTGAATTTGTGTGGCAGAATCGAGAGAAGAACATCAAGCGATCAGACTTATTAGATCTGAGTTTTACCAGTCAAACAATAGGGATGAATATGCTTCTAAACATGGTGACTGCATCACAAATGCAGCTGGGGTATTCTCCACCTGAAGATTATAAGGCAGCAGTTAGCTCTGTTAGTCATTTCAGTCCTGAATCTGTCCTTTGACCAGCAGTCAATGAACAGGGATCTTTTGTCCTTAGTGGATTTATGAATAACAATCATGTTATCCTCAAGGTTTGTGATGTTGATCATGAGATAAAAATACTTCACCATCTTCGTGAATGTGATTTCATTCCCAAGGTTATCACATTTGGAAACCTTCCAGAGAACAAAAAGTAGGTGTTGACTTTGTGCTGAGATTTTTATTGATATTAATTGTATATTAATATTTAATATTTAATGATGTAGATACATGGTAATGACACCTTTTGGAGAACATCTTGATGTTGTTAAGCATGGCTGGCATGGAATTCTCAAAGCTTTTCAAGATGTTGCTGAAGCTATGAAGTTTGCAAATAACCATGGCATCCTACATCGTGACATTTCATATGGAAATATTGTATTCTATGAACAACATGGCTATCTCATAGACTGGGGTGTTGCAGTAGTAGGATCACCAGAAGTGGAAAATGCCTTAACTGGTACCATCCTGTTTTCCTCTGTAAAGGTGTGTCTTGTGATTCTTCAAATTGCATTATGTACATATTACTTGAAAACTTATACCCTTTTCATTTTTCAGGTTACAACAAAATTGCATGAGAACAAAAAGTTCACTCACACATTTGATGATGACATCGAATCTCTCTTTTATACATTTCTATATGTAGCATGTGATGGTGTGCTCAAGTGGAAGAAAGGTCTAGGAGGCATGGATTTTGTTGCAGCAATGAAGTTTTACACAGTATATAGAAACTTCAGTAAACAACTGGAGTATGTAAAGAATAATGAACTGCTCCCATACTTGCATAGATTTCGTGACATCATTGTTTCCAATTGGACAGATAAGATGGCAATAGACATTGATGCAGTTATTAGGGTGTTTGACATTAAGTAACTATTCAGCATGATACATGAGAGGAAGAGAACACTCTTTTAATTCTTTATCATGTGAATCGTGATTTTTTGCTTCTTCAGATGCAATGGTATAAACTTGCTGCCAAGTACCATGATTAAAATTAGCATGTCTTAAATTTGAATGAATAAAATGAGAAATGCAATTGCTCAAGAAATTAACTGTATAAATTGTTATCTCGAACGAGGACACTCATAATTTACGCGTACGTAGTAAAGACAACAATAAATACAGTCCTACTCAATTGTACCACACCTCGAATATATCCCCGAAAAAGCTCCGTCCCAAAGTGGGGATATAAACGCGGTAGGACTGTACGTGCATAATAATAAAAGTGAAATTTTGCTTTCTCAGTAATTTCGAAATTAAACCGTGTGATTATATTGATAACATATTAATATTGAGTGCATATACGCATAAGTACACCGTCACATAGTTGCCAATTTCTTTTCGTTTTTGAAAATAGTAACAATAACAGACGAAAGAAATTCAGTAAAATAAACAAAACCATTAATGCATAAAACTAATATATAGGAATACCCGTATATGGAAAATTATAATTATAATGGTTTGACTGAATATGAAAAAGCAGTGCATTTCTTGGAGATAGGTTGCAAATGTGGTTGCTCAAAAATGATTCCGAGAGAAAGGTTTGCCGAATTACGTGAAGTGTTTCAAGCTCTCTCTAGATCCGAACAAGATATATTTTTAATGGCCCAGCTGACAGCAATGAATGGCGGAGAAATAACTGCCAGCCGACGTCTTAAAAAGAAAACGCGTACTAATAAGCGAACTTTTTATTATTGAGATCGCAATACGCCACTTTGTCAGAAAACGTATCTTAATATGTTAGGAATTGGCCGCACTCATTTGGAAAACGTCAGAAATCACCTAGCAACGAATGGTATAATACCGCGTGTTCATGGTAATATCAAACGAATACCGCGATGAAAAACCAAAATAACCATTGATATAACTGTTGCTGCCGCTGTAAAGAATTTTCTTGAAAACTATGCAGAAACTCATGGATTACCAAGTCCTGGTAGAAATGTCAATCGCATTACTCAATCACTTACACTATTGCCAGCTGAAACGAGTTACAAATCAGTCTATCGCAATTTTATTGCAGGTCTCGAAAACGATAGCACATTGAAATTGTTAAAATATGACGCATTCCGCAAGTTATGACACCAATTAACGCCTTATATTCAAATTATGAGTCCACGAACGGATTTATGCGACACGTGCCAACATTTTCGGAACGG